GCCGGCGGCGGTCCAACCTCAGCCCCTCTCCGCCGCCGCCCCGCCGCCGTGGGCACTCGTCCCCATAAGCCCAGCTTCTCGAAGAATCGAGCTCCTTCATCGGGCCCCACGCCTCCGATCCCTTTTAATGTCCAGCCGCAGGCCGGAGAGTATACAAAGGAGAGGTTGTTGGAGCTCCAGAAGAACGCTCGGCCTCTCGGCAGCCTGCCGAGGCCTCAGAAACCCGATAGCCCGTCGAAATCCGAACCCGTTATCGTCCTTAAAGGCCTCGTGAAGCCCACATCGTCTCCTATTGATCCGGCCCCTAAGCCGAGAAAGGAAGAGGTGGAGGAGGAATCAGATGGGACAGAGGAAGATAAGTTTGCGAAATTGGGTATTGATGGTAGAGGAAAAGGTTTGTCTTCGATACCGAGCCAGGCTCATATAGCTGCCATTAAAGCCCGGAGGGAGAGGCTCCGGCAGAGTCGTGGGCCGGCAGCGGATTTTATATCACTTGACAGCGGAGGAGTGATGGCTACTCGGGCATCGGATGGTGGGTCTAGTGATGAGGAGGATCATGAATTTAGAGGTAGGATTGCTTTGTTTGGTGATGAAGGGGATGAGCAATCGAAAAAGGGTGTTTTCGAGGAGTTTGAGGAGAGGGCTCCAATTGTTGATACTAGGGTTGCTGGAGAGATTGAAGCAGAGGATGATGAGGATGAAGAGGAGCGGAAATGGGAAGAGGAGCAATTTCGAAAGGGGCTTGGGAAAAGGATTGAAATCATTGAGGAAGTATCTGTCCATAGAGGGGTTAGCGGTGTTCAGCCTCAGATGCCACCGCCACAGAATTTATATCATGCTGTTGGTCCTCGGCCGTTGGTGCCTGGAAGTATGCCTTTCTTTCAGACAATGTCGATATCTCAACAGGCGGAGATTGCTACACGGGCTCTCAAGGAGAACATCATAAGGCTGAAGGACTCTCACAAGCGAACAATGGATTCCGTGGCGAAGACAGATGAAAACTTAGCAGATGCTCTTTCTGATATCACCACGTTGGAGAAGTGCCTTCAAGAAGCCGGGGACAGGTATATTTTCATGCAACAGCTCCGAGACTTCATTTCTGTGACATGTGATTTCTTGAAGGACAAGGCTTTGTTGATAGAGGAGCTGGAGGAGGAGATGCAGGAGCTCCATGAGAAGAGGGCAGCAGCTGTGGAAAAGAGAAGAGCTGCTGATATCGTGGATGAAACCGGGGAAGTTGAGTCTGGGGTTAGTGCAGCCATGTCGGTTCTCAGCAAAGGCTCTGGGCCTGCTTATGTATCTGCTGCCACAAATGCAGCACAGGTTGCTTTAGCTGCAGTGAGAGAGAGCTCGAATTTGCCGGTTCAATTGGATGAGTTTGGAAGGGATGTTAATCTACAGAAGCGTATGGATTTCTCACGGCGAGCTGAGGCAAGGAAGCGAATAAGAGCGCGGGCTGATTCTAGAAGAATGACTTCTATTGGCAAGCAGTTAGAAGGAGAGGTTACCACCGATGAGAGTGACCGTGAGAGCACTGCTTACACTTCTACAAGGGATGAATTGCTTCAAACAGCTGAGCAAATCTTTAGCGACGCAGCCGATGAGTACTCAAACCTTTCTGTTGTTAAAGAAAGGTTTGAGAGATGGAAGAAGCATCACTTCTCAAGCTACCGAGATGCCTACATGTCTTTGAGTGCACCTGATGTCTTCTCTCCATATGTGAGATTGGAGCTTCTGAAATGAGACCCTCTTTATAATATGACCGATTTCGAAGAAATGAAATGGTACAAGCTTCTTTTTGATTATGGGTTACCAGGAAGAGATGAAGATTTTGATCCTGAAGATGCCGATGCGAATCTTATCCCAGAGCTAGTAGAAAAGGTAGCTCTCCCCATCTTGCACCATGAAATCTTACACTGTTGGGATATGTTCAGCACAAAAAGAACGGAGAATGCTGTATTTGCCACTAATTTAGTCGTCACATATGTTCCAGTCTCGAGTAAGGCCCTCCAAGAGCTACTATCAGTTGTTTGCTCTCGGCTCACGCAGGCCATTACCGACCTCAGTGTTCCGGTGTGGAGCTCCGTCGTGACGAGAATTGTGCCTGGTGCTGCTCAATTAGCTGCTTATCGATTTGGGACATCAGTTCGGCTCCTGAGGAATATTTGTCTGTGGAAAGATGTACTGTCACTGCCAGTTCTAGAGAAGCTTGCTCTTGAAGAGCTCTTAAAAGGGAAGTTACTCCCTCATATGGAAAGCATAATGTCGAATGTCCATGATGCTATAACTAGAATGGAGAGGATTGTTGCATCAATGTCAGGGGTTTGGTATGGGCCTGAGGTCACAGTAAATCACAGCAAGAAGTTGCAGCCTTTGGTTGATTGCGTGGATAAACTAGGTCGGAAGTTGGAGAAGAGGCAGGCGTCAGGGGTGAGCGAGGAGGAGACCGTTGGGCTTGTTCGGAGATTGAAGACGATGTTGGTTGAGTTGAATGCGCATGATAGAGCTAAATCTTTGCTGAGGACCTTTCATCTGAAAGAAGCAATTTGAACAAGCATTGTAGGACCAATTTTTGTGCACCTTGTATCAAAGGTCTGGTTTATTCGAATCTCGGTTCTGTCCAATTTTGAGGTGGATATGTTTGGCATATTATTTTTCGGATATTTACCTCAACGTATGGTGCATGTGTGTTGCACGTGAGGCCATTTCAGGCTAAATTTTTCAAAAGTTGTTTTTCATGTGCATTGCACGTGCGGCCATTTTTAGTATAAATTTCTCAATAATTGTTTTTCGTAAACTCCAGTTTTCAAACTTCAATGTAAATTTTGTGAGATAAGAAATGAGTGCATTGATAAAAAGTTAAGAGATTGCTTGAATTGAGGGTAAGACACGAGTAAATCAACTGAGATGGTTTGACCTTGTGCAATGGAAACCTTTAAATGCACTAATAAGAAAAATTGGCACTGCTATAATTAATGGAGAAAGGACAAGAGGTATTCTACTTTTGCATTATATACACATCTTCTGATTTCTGAGCTATGAAACCTAGTGGTTTCCATGTAGACGTCCTCAACGGAAACACCATTAAGGAAGGTATTTTTGGTATCAAACTGGTATAATGACCAAAGGTAACTGGCTGCAGGAGAAATTGGGAGTTATGCACATGTCATGTTTGCCACAGGGTGATGGGGGGTAATTTACCTTGGTAGTCATCTCTATATGTCTGTGCGTACTCTTTGGCCATCAACGTTTTAGATGATACCTAAATCTGAACTGATATCCAATCTCTATAACGTCACGATCTCTTCTTTTGCACATCTTTGTGCTAATCTGGATTGTACATAGCTTCTGAAACAAACCTAAGATCTGTGTAAGATTTAATTGGGAAAAAAGCACTAGAAGGCAAGTAATAAAAATAAGCCAAAAAATTAGGTATGCAACTTGTTTTACCCTTACAAATAACATACAATTGGACTGAAAATCAAGATCAATGCTGGGAGTAATATTTCCAAAAGTGTTGTTCTTGCTAGATTTTGAATTATGAATTAGAGCAGAAGAAGAGATTGACACAATTATTCATGCATCGTATGAAATGGAATGATTTGCTGTTGAATCTGCACGCTACATTCATATTTCATGCATCAGGTGTTTTGAAAAGGTTTTGACAGCGAATATATTGTGGGAGAGTGCTGTCTTAGTCATATTCTTCTTTTTCCGCTCTGATGCATCTCAATACTTTATTTGTGCATTCTTCTAGACCAAGCTTTGTCATGTACAGCAGAGATTGATTTCTTTATGCTTCTGCCCTTCAATGTTCTTTTACAGAGGCAGCCAGGATTCTGAATAAAAAATATTTCAGTGGAGGTTAGTTGTTGGTTATTTATGTTTTTCTCCAAATATTGACTCTGGTTAATGAATTTGTTACAAAAATCTTGAATCTTTCAGGTACTGTTTCTGCTTAAATAGCTGATGTTGACCTTGTAAATAGAAGGGAAAGCATCGAGCAATTGCTTGAAGATGGCACACTTCCATTCTTGAGCATAGCTTCCATTCGTCACGGGTTCAAAATAATTGATTCTTTGACTATATCTTCTATTGCCCGGTATATATTTTGACATATATTATATTGACTTGTGTCTTGACAAAAAACCATGTTTCTGGTAATCTAGTGAATGGACAAGGAAAATGCTTAATATCAGTAGCTGACTATGATTAGTGCATGCTGTTGTAGTAGTTTACTTTTCTATATTATTTTTTATTCTCCAATAAGCCAATCTTATTCGTATTAGACCTGCCTGAGATTTATAAATCTACTCTTCGAATGACTAACTTCCATGATAGTCACTTCCCAACCCCCACCCCACCAAAAAAAACACAGAATTTACAATTAATCTTCTGTTACGTTACATGTTGGTTATGGTGCAATATACAGCTACTATTTATTGTAGATTTTCATATTTCTATTTGAATTGTTTTTGAGCAATGAAATGAAAGCAACCTGGTAGCAAGTCGGGCATAATTTGTCTTCATTTACTGTATGACATACAATGAAGTGAATACCATCACTTGTTATGAATTTTTGTACATGATCAGGTTAATCCAATGTTTTCTAATCTACCTTTCTTTGTTTGTAAATCTACCTTTTTTTGTGCATCCTCATTTACTAAACTAGTTTCAAGCCGTATTCCATTTGAAATGATTCATCCACAATCCAATATCATTTTGGAGTATGGTTTATACATGTTAGAATATAAAAATATAATCCTCAATCCTCACCATAATTTTGGAGTTTTGGTGTAATGGTTAGAGGGACCTTAAGATGGTACTAGAGCAACCCAAGTTCATATCCCACCGGCCGTAAATTTAAAGCGGATTTTTCTAAAAATTAACACCACTGCATGAGTCCAGAATTCGGCCCATAAAAAAGGGTGCTTAACCTGTGAGGGCATATTAGAATATAATAATATAATCCTAAACCCTCATCATAACTTCGGAGTTTTGATGTAGTGGTTAAAGGGACCTTAAGAATACAATAGAAAATCATTTCTCGTTCTAAAGATGTATTGTTTTCAGTACTCACTTTATCTTTCCACCAATCCACCCATGCTATACAACACATTAAATAATTGATCAGACTTACTGCTTTCCTTTTTTTTGCCCTTTTATATTTGGCGCAAATCTTATTCTAAAATTCTTAGAGAGAATTCATATCCTAACCAGGAGAGCAAGAAAAATTCTATAGGACAATTAAAAGACCAACACCATTTTATGGATCACAATGTTGGGCAATTAAGAAATGACATGCGCAGAGACATGATTATAGCAGAAATGAAAATGGTAGAATGCATGTGTGGATATACAGTAAGAGATGAGATAAGAAATGAGTGCATTGATAAAAAGTTAAGAGATTGCTTGAATTGAGGATAAGACATGAGTAAATCAACTGAGATGGTTTGACCTTGTGCAATGGAATCCATTAAATGCACTAGTAAGAAAAATTGGTACTGCTATAATTAATTGAGAAAGGACAAGCGGTAGGCCTAAGAGAACTTGATTTTAACCAATTAAGAAAGACACAATAATGGTTAACTTAGCGGAGGAGATAACCTTAACAAAACTGAATAAAAGAATGATTCTTGTAAATAGTAGGTTCAAAATTTTGTTATTCTCCTTGTTTTTCACTTGTTCTCCTTGTTATTCTAATCACTTACGTATTAGATCATCTGCAATTTCCTTGTGGTGTCTTTTAATTTACGCATTATCTTGGTTGTGATGCATTATATAGTAACCTTATCAGATGTATAATAAGCTGTAACTGTAGAGCAACGTGAGCATATGATCCTCGAGTAAAGGTGTTGATGCTGCTTACTGTTGTATTTAGCTTTTGAATTATTAAAATTCTTTTTGAATAGAAATTTGTATTAACTCTTCCTTTATTATTCATCATTATGTCACTTGAGCAATCTTTCTTCGCAAGATGTTGTATTCTGCGTGCAAGTATTTAACATATTCCCCCCTTTTTAGGCATACAGCATCTCTTGCCACCTATGTGAGGAATGCTATAGTGAGCTTGAAGCATGAGAATGGATCAGATCTCTGCACACTTTATGGAAGCAACATGACCAAGGTTTAGATATGTATATGTAGTTAATAGACAATTGATTCCTTAGTGTCTCTTTATTCGTGTTATTACTTTGCGAAGTTGCTGTTGGTTACCGAATATGTGAAGTATGTATGCGGTTAGTTTAGCATTTTGATTTCCGTTTTGTGAGATAGAAATGGATAGCTTTTGGGGATTCTGCTTTGAAACGTTAATGTTATATTTCCTATATCAAATTGGTCTTTGGGATTCAATTTAATGCATCTTGACAAGAGTGAATGTGAGATAATGCATTTGATATTCTAGTCTTGCTGTTACTTTTGCAGAATTTACATGTTTATAGTGACTAATTTTGCATTGTAGACACCGCACTTGTAACATAATGCATACATATGCAATTTTACAGTGTGTAAAATATATCTGCATCAGGCTTCTCTATTTTATTCATTATACTCATTGTTTCTACATAATTTTTCTTTTTTGTTTCTTTCCAAGGTGTTACCTCCTGATCTGGGTCCTACAATTGCATTCAATTTGAAAAGGGATGATGGGTCATGGTTTGGATATCGTGAAGTGGAAAAATTAGCTTCTTTATCTGGATTCTGGGATCCAGTTGCGGGTAAGTTTTGACAAATGCCAGTCATTAAGTGTAGTAACTTTTTCTCAAATAACTATGTTTTGCAACTTGTTCTTTCTCTTCACACAGACATGCATAGACATCTGTGGCACGATAAAAGGGAGATTTGAAAATTTCTAAAAGCTTATCAAATTAAGCCATAGGCATAGTCAACAAATAAATGTCTTCAATCGTGCCATATTTTTGTCTGTGGATAGACAAACTCTCGTGTACACGTGTAATGTATATATGTAACTGCGTGTGTACAAAATGCAAGATGTTGTAGGTGACCTGGAGATATACATGTCAGTTCATATGAAACGGGACAATACTGCATTCAACCTACAATATGACAGCTACTATACATATGATAGCATTTTGTGTCTCAGGTGATAAGACTTTCTATATAGCCTAAATTATGCAATATGTTTATGCATAAACATGTTTATGTGCCCACATCTCTACTGCAGAAATATTTGAATCTTGTTAAAATACGAAAGACCTATGCTAGACCTGGAGGAGTTACATTTGAAAAGTATCAAAAATATCTTTCACGCTGAATTTCTGCTCAAGCTTAATGATAATGATACATTGTTAGCATGGTCACCTTTTGACATGGTTTCCACTTGATGGCTTTATTGTAGACAGGCTGCTGCTGCAATCCTGGTGCATGTGCTAAAAATCTTGGTTTGTCTCATTCTGAACTTCTTTCCAATATTGAGGTACATCACATCCTTGCATATTGTTTTTATTGGTTTGCTAATTGCACTTTTTTAATGGATCATTAAAACAGTCTCAAAGTTTTCATTCTATTACAAATTTAATGATTTCCACTTTTTTAATGGATCATTAAAACAGTCTCAAAGTTTTCATTCTATTACAAATTTAATGATTTCATTTATTCCTTTTAGCACTTCATTTTGTGTTCATTTAACCCTCATTTCAGTCTTTAGATGAATTCATTATAACAGTTGGCAAATTTGACACATACGTCCTGGTAGGATTTCATTTGTTTTGCAATTAACCCTTTATCCAAATGAACCTTTATCCCTAAAAGGTTGTAAGTGATGCTGACACCAGTGTCCATTTTATCATTGCTTACTGAAACCTTGGCTGCATCTTTTCTTCCTATTGACTGTTAATCTGTTATTGAGTGGTACGAGGAGAGACTCCTTATTCCATTCTATCCTAATAAATGCACCTTTAGCATTCATTTAAATACCGGGCAACATGACTGCAAATTTGAAACATTACGGAAACCGTAACTAAGTAATTTTAATTTCAGTTATGCTACTTGCCTGCAAACTCAATAGATGATGAACATGTAATGCATACACTAGTACAGTAGAACTTAAATGTAACACTGATATTTGTATTCATGGAAGGCTGGCCATGTTTGCTGGGATGATAACGACATATTGAATGGGAAACCAACAGGTGCTGTTAGGGTATCATTCGGTTATAAGTCAACATTTGAGGATGCAGAGGTAAAATGCCACCTATTTGCTTTTCAACTGCTTTAATTCCTATTGGGGCATTGATAAATTCTTATTTTGCGTGTAAGTTGTAATATTATAGGTCATTTTGCAAAATTATTGTTCCTACCTTCCAATGATATATGTACAGCAAAGAAGAAGTAGCTTTTCTCTTTCTGTGGTAATTTGGAATCTGTCCCGAGATATGTCTACGTGATTTTTCCAATCTGATTTATTTGCAAAGGCACTTAAGCCCTTTTAGCATCTGATTAGTGTTTATGCTCTAACTCTTGCATGGATGCAACAAATTTAAGCTATTTGTACTTGAAATGTAGGTCTTCACAATTAAGCTTCTCAGGATCACGTTAAGCTTTTTTAGGATCACAACTTGAAATGTAATCTTCACAAGTCAGGTTCTCAAATTCGATAAGTTTTTGCCTATATTTAAGAATTGTTTGACCAATGGATCGCCAGGTGCCGTTGAGCTTGGCTCAATGATAAAGCAAGGGATTGGGTAATTGGGGGTACTAGGTTAAAGATCGGGATGCAGCCTCCATTCAAAGAAGAATAATGATGAATGGAAATAAATCAGCAGGAGGTCAATTAATTTACATCACAACTTTCTACAATCACAATTAAAGCTGCAACAACATTGGCACATGATTAGAGTTTGTTAACAAAAAGGTTAAAGGTGTAAAAAAGATGCACTTAAATACAAATTACAGACAGACGCAACCCCAGCAGTTATTAGTATCAAAGGCATAGAATAAGCCCTTTACTTATAATATGGTCTTATTTGTACCTGTGGGCTTATCTGTTTTACATCTTGAACTTTTTGTTAACAAACATGTAAGTAATCATGCGTCAACATTGTTGTAGCTTGATGTGATTCTGGTTTTTTTTATTGCTTTAGATTTAAAACTATCGGCAAGTTTGAGATATTGCATTAAGACTACTTTCTGCCATCCCGACATTCTCTGCTTCTCAAACATCAAAAACTAACATTGTCTACTAGAGGACTTTCAGCCTATTCTATGTGGCCCATTCTATCTCTTTACAATATCCTAAGGGAATTTGTTTCCTATGCAGCTGTATGCTTATAGTGTGACTAAATTCTTCTGTGCTACTATCCTTGATGCCCAGATTGCAAAGGAAGTATGATGTTCTCTGAACAAAGAGTATGGTGTTGATTCACCGCCTTGTTTCAATTTGTTTCTTTAGGAGGTCTGGACCTCTCTAAAAATACTCTGCTGTCCATAGATTATTTTTCTTTTTGGAATAATCAGGTCGAGAACTCCCATCCTTGCCTCTACATAGGGGAGGGATTTCCACTTGAAGGTTAAACATGAAGCTACCTTATCATACTCAAGTGCCTTTAGCAACTCTGCTTTGACCTCTCATTAACCTGATGGAACTACTGTACGTTGAAGTGAACCCATGGAAATTTGGGCAACGATCTTAAACAAATGTTAAGTGAGTTGGAGCTACTAAGGAAACTTTATAAATGTAGTTAGAAATTCATCATGTGCAACGTACAGAAGTAGTTTCTTTGGGTCACCCGAAATACCTAGCAGAGGCAACGCTAATTATCCAACTTTAAATGGCAGTTCTGCATTTGTATTTTTTAAGGGATTTTATCTAGAGGAACTGGTATCATCTGTTACCTCCTTGTTAGCATTTAATGTATATCATCATGCATTTGGTACATGAATAAGAAGTTAGATAGTAGAGCTTCAAATATCACATCTAAGTTGTAGTATCTAACCACTTTGAAAACTTAGTTCGGTAGTTCAATGCTGGGTCCTCCTATTGTATGGTTCTAAATATGAAGATGTGGCAGCATCCGCCATTCTTTCTCTGTACAAGTGCTGCAATTTTATTTCTATTATTCCTCTAAACTTCCTGAATAGTTATTCATTTTGATGGGTTTTTAAGAAGTTTAAATTAATTTTCCTTTTGCAGAAATTTCTGAAGTTTGTAGTATCTTCTTTCGTAGCAAAGCCAAATTTATCCAGAGATGCATATCCATTTGAAACACAATCATTGACTGGTAAATTTTCTTTTCACTTTGGATTGCCCTTAACATTTTAAGTATGCATTTCTGTGTTACCATTGTTATTCTTATTTCTTACAGTGAAAGCGAACGTATCATGAGCAGTGAGCTGATTACCTTATAGGAATTATTAAAATTACTCCAAAATCATCATAATTGTTACTTACCCTGCAATTGTCGTCGACCCTCAAGTTTATCCTCTGTTATAACTGTTAGGAAATGTTTTTGGAATCTTACCTTATATATCGTTAAAAAAATTAACTATTTTTGTATATTACTGAAATATTCTTAATTAACCTTATTAATCTAAAGAACAACATCCTACGTCCTCTGTTGTGGGAGTGGGTCTTTGACTCTTTATTGTCCGCCTATTTCCTTGCTTGTCTTTCATGTTTGGACTGTGTCGTTCAACCAAAAGAATATTGGTGGTTAAGATGTTGGCTGCAGAGGGCATTCACCAGGATCTTGTGGTTCATCTTGCTGGACATTGCAAGTCTTGTTAGCCACAGGGGGTTATCTTTTTTATATGACTACAGATTATTTTTAGAGGCCATGTGTTCCGTATGATTGCTTCTGTTGAGCTCTTTGCATACTTATTGTTGGGAATCTTTTGCTAAATTCTTACTGATGACGTTCATATAGGATGGAGGGGAAGTTTTATAGACATGACAGGAATCCAACATTTAGGATTGGTATTACTCTCTAATAGGTCCAGATTTTCCTTGGAAGTATCAGCATAGCCCACATTATAGCACACATTATAGTTCGTGTGGGGACTGAAATTTGATTTGAGGCAACGATTTCTGGGGGATAGTGCTAGAGGAAAGTCCAAAATGTGGTAGCGAAGAGGCCTAGGGTCGCAAATCTTGATGTGAAGTC